CCGAGGCGCGATGCGCCAGAGTCGGCGGAGCGACGCGCTACCCAAAAATTCCTGACCATACGGTGAAGGCAGTGGAAGCCGGTGGAACCCCAGTCGAGGCTTGGCCCCGGATATCACCGCCGCCCCCATCGGGTAAGGAGTCCTCGAGGGTCTGAAGCCTCCTGGGTACATTCCGTAAGGAACGCCTCCACCGTAGCAACCTTGCGCGGTGGCCTTCTGCGGGCCGACAGCGCGACACGCCACACACGCGACACGCGCGGCGTTACGCGGGCAGCTCGCGCGGGAACTTCCGCGCAGTCGAGCCCGTTTTTTCTGCGTCGCTCGCGAGGGGCTGGACCCGCTGTCCAACAAGGGGAGGGGCGCGTCGTGTGTGTGTCCAGCTTACTACCTCCTGGTATAAAGCGGCGGCGCGGAAGCTCAGCGTGCCAGGACGCGCCTGCACCTGCGGTCAGAGCCTGCACCCCAGGGTTCCCTCCTGAGCCCGTCCTGTTCGGCGCCTGAGCCCACACGCCACAGCCGTGTCGGCGGCCGAGCGGGCTCAGACGCCGACCGAGCTCAAAAGAGACCTGGGGGTACGGGAGCGCGAGGAGCGAGGGGGGGGAGCAGACGCGAGCGGGCAAGTCACTGCCGTCGCATCGCGCGCGGCGACTGCAGGACCACTGTGGGGGCCCGCACCCAGGGCCACTCTGGCGAAGGGCCGCCTCCCGCGTGCAGTCGAACAGGGGGGGCCAGGGGGGCAGGAGAGCGAAAGCGGAGGACGCAAGGACCGACCACAACGATGTTAAACGAAATGGCGTTTAAAACGGAAAAAAGAAGCGAAGCCCAACGCTTTCAACTAACTCTCAGAACGACACCAGTGCCACACGAGACGAAAAACATCGAAACGAGGCGTCGGAAACAAAAACGAGCAACGAATCGAAGCAAAAACGAACCACGAGACGAGACAAACAACAGAGGCCCCCAAAACAAGCGAAACAACGTTGCGGTCGGTCCTTGGGAGGCCGTGATGCTGGCTCTGCGGCGCTCCCGGGCGGCCCTGTTGGCCACGAAGGAGGATGCGGCAGCTGGAACCGCCCCGCGCCCCAAAAAAGCGCGTCGAGGCGGAGTGAAAGAGGCGGCGGCGATGCGGAGGGTCAGCGTCGTCAGCGTCAGCGTCGTCGTCGTCGTCGTCGTCGTCGTCGTCGTCGTCGTCGTCGTCGTCGTCGTCGTCGTCGTGGTCGTCGTCGTCGTGGTCGTTGTCGTGGTCGTTGTCGTGCGCCGAAGCGGCGGCGATGCGGAGCCCTGAGCACCGGAGTATCGCTTGCGCGGCTGCGGCGGCTCCACGGCTGCGGCTCTCCGCCGAAAGGGCTCCGCCGAAACGGCTCAGCCGAAACAGCTCCGCCGAAAGGGCACCACCGAAAGGGTGCTCAAGCAAGGGGAGGATACCCGCAGATTGCAGGGGGGGCGATTGGCTCGGTGGGAGGTCCGCATTGGCTGCTGGCCGCCTATCAGAAGCCAGTGAGGACCTCCTTGAATTGGTTGTCGGCGGCGAGCGAGGGGGCAAATGAGAAGGAGGAGGGCTTCTCAGAGGCGGCGGGGCCCAGAAGGCCTTCGGCCTTCTTGAAGGCTTTCTGTCTTCGGAGAAGGCTCAGAAAACTTCTCCGAAGGCGGGGGGACTTCCGAGCCTTCTGAGAAGGCCTGCTCCTTCTCACTTACCCCCCAGGCTTGCCGCCGAGGTTGATTTGCAGGAAATCTTATCTCGCCATCGCTCGGACGTCCATTCCCCGTGCATTATTCGATTTCGCGCGTGTTTTTGTTATGCTCGATGACCCAAAGTGCTCCTCGATGGTCCCCGCCGAGAAAAAGTGCACATGTCCGAGCGATGCTAAGTTATCTCCTCCTCCTCCTCCTCCTCCGTCCCTCCCTTCTCCCCGACCCTCCTCCCCCTCCTTTCCCTCCACGCGCACGCACGGGGAGGAGGATGGTGGCAAGAGGGAAGGAGGGAGGGAGGGGGGCAAGGAGGGAGGGAGGGAGGAGGGGAGGGAGGGAGGGACGAGGAGGAGGGACAGAGGAAACCACAGCTTGCAGGATGCATCAGCGATCCTGCAATACACCCTCCCGTCTCCAGTCCCCTCCTCTCAAATCCTTACAACTACTGCTCTCTACTGTGGGCGGTGCGCCCCTTGAATGACGAGCGCCAGGTGAGCCTGCCACTCAGGCGAGACCCCTATCTGTAAAGGATCCACTCTCCATGTTCTAACAAGATAGCAGGAAGACGCGCAAGGAGGTAGGATAACATTGAGACGTGCAACGAGCCGTCCAGCCGTGAAGATAGGACACAGTTTCATGTCAGAATTGGGAACGTCGGGTCATCGAATTTGGAGGAGTCTCGAGCGGAAGCCACGCTTTGAAAACGAAATGGCCTCCATCCTTGTAACTGTTGAAATCGGTTGCAGCGAATGTGCACCGCTCTGAAGGCTAGAGCCGCATTGTGAAACCTACCGCCCATCTATCCGTGTGACTCTCGGACTTCTTCAAAACGAATGTGCGCGTCGCTGGGGCGTCAACCGCATTTTGAAAACGAGCCAGTTTCCCTTCTGGTAGCCATTGGAAACTGTTTAAACGAATGTGTGCCTCGCTAGAGCGAGAGCCGCAGTTTGGAAGCTACCGGCCTTTCATTATATTACTGTTGAAACTGTTGAAACAAAATTGCGCGGCGTTATGCCGAGAACCGCAAATGGGGAACGACGAGAACCTGTTAAAGCAGAAGTGCGCAGCGCTAAAACGAGAGCTGCATTTTGAACACTCGCCCTCCATCCTTGTGACTGCTGGAGCGTTCTAGCTTCAGAACTATGGTGTGTAAGGAAGTCTGACGCGAAACGCCTGGCCACGGCCTAGGCCTACGGACACGCTAGTGGTGCGGCAGGGGGAGATTGTTTATGAGGAAAGCGTATCGAGGAAGATGGGGGATGTAGAGCGTCGCGGATTCATCCGGGCACTATCCTCAGCTTCGAGCCTTCGAGGATGAGCGAGAGAGCAGAGAGGGAGGACGGGGAGAGGAGACGGAGAAGGATGGAGGGAGGAGGAGGGAGGATGGGGGAGGCGGAAGGACGAGGAGGAAGAAGGACCAGGGAAGAGTAGCGAAAGGAAGAGAAAGGAGAAGGAGAAGGAGGAGGATGAGAAGGGCGAGGAGGGGAGTAGCAGCAGGGAGATTGTGGAGGTGGAGGAGGGGAGGGGAGGAGGAGAGCGAGGAAGGTTGGGAGTGGTACGGGCGAGCAGCTAGAGGAAGAAGCAACTACATATACATAGCGTTCGGACGTCCGCGCGGACCTCCGAACATTAGTGTTCGTGTCGCAGTTCTTGTTCGAGGAGTGCTAGGGGCGTGCCAATGCGAGCGATGCTGCGTTGCCCCAGCACCCGTGCCCTCAGGTGTGGCACTGAGGCAGCCCGACAAGTGAACGACAAAAAGAAACGAGTCTTACGCGAGATGACACAGCGACCTTACGCCGCGGCCTACGCGGGCCGCCAGCGCGGCAGGCTAGATTGGAGGCGAGGGCGCTCACGCGCGACCTTACGCGGGCAACCTACGCGCCAATGTCGGCGCAGAGGACCCCGTGTTTTTTCGTCGCTCAAGTGGTACTGCGAGTTGTGAGCTTTGCTGCGCAAAGAGGCTCAAACAGAACTGGCACTGCCAGCGCGGCAAGCTCCCGCCCCGACAACGGTGGGCCATGGCTTCTAGGTCACCCAGCTTCGCGCGTCGTGCCCCGCCATGCGCGACGCGCGATGATGTTCGCGCCCTCGCGCCGCCGCCCTGGAGGGGGGCGCCTCTGCAGTCTGAGCCGCGATGCGCGAAGCATGAGCAGGGACGGACCCTCCTGGCATTCCTATAAGCCTACCACGAAATCTTCACGTTCTTAGAGCAAATAGTGTCCTAACAATAACAATCGCAATGCCCCTGTAATAAAACTGATTGGTTGAAGCAAGACGGTCTTAGCCAGAACCGCCAGAAAGTTCTGATCACATAAACAGGGAGCTTCGCCACTGCTTGAGCAGCGCGACCACCTCCACGCCCCTCGGGATGACCTGGTGGCTCCTGGCACCGCCTCAGCGGCCCGATCTGCAACGGCCCCTGCCCTCGGAGAACCACCCAAGGGGCTCGGGCAGGGCTGCTCGTGTCGTGGGCTGCTCTCTGGCCCCTGGGCCCCGCAAGCGCCAGTTCGTTGGGGCATTCCCGTTGTGCCCCCGACCCGCCCGCCCGGCCCGCCCGCTGGGGTCCGCCCGCCTGGCCCGCCGATCAGGGTCCGCGCGCCCGCCCGACCCGCCCGACGACGACGGCGCCGCCCGGACCGCAAACGACTGCACTGTACTGGCGCTCTGCGAGCGGCCATCCGACTTGTCACCTCCTCGGTGGCTCGAGAAATCGCAGCCAGCGATGCGGCCAGCATCGGCCCGCTTGAGAAGCCCAAGGACCCTGACGATGACGACGACCACGACGACCACGACGACGACGACGACGACGACGACGCCGACGACGACGAGGCTGGAATGGCCAAGCGCACTGACTGACGGCCCCGCGGGGGGGAGGGGGGGGGGCGGGCTCACTCTCGGAGGTTGCCAGAAATGGTGCCGGCCCCAGGTGCCTTCAGGTTTCCGCCCCACTCCCGAGACACCTCGGGCCAGCACCCCACCTCGAGCAACATCCGAGAGACCCCGCACGCCCACGCCACCGCCGCCGCCGAAGCGGCGGGAGCCTGCCGCGCTGCGGCGGACCAGCAGCCCGCATGCTCACGTCCACTTCGTGGCGAGCCAGGCGGGTTCCTAAAACTACGCGGCGGGCGGCCGGCGCCCGATGGGCCACCGCTCTGCGACCGCACCCCAGCCGTCGGGGCGGTGCGCTGGCGGGCCAGACCACCTCGGCCACTTGTGCCTAGGCGCGGGGACAGCGAGAGCCACCGCTCTGCGGTCGCCCCCCCCGGCCGCTGGGGCGCCGGCGGGCCCGCCGTGGCTAGCCGCAGCTGCTGCTACGACTCGGACTGCGCGGCGCGCCGGGCGCTACAACGCCTGGACGTCCGCTGCAGGCACGACCCGGAGTTGGGCCCGGCGACTATCAGTACCGCTGGCAGGATCACCACGGAGGACGCGCCGGAGAGGAACGTCACGACAATGACGACAGCGCCGAGCTTCACAAAGATGAGCATGGTGCAGCAGCACAGGAACGCGCCAGCCGCCAGGGTCGACGCTGCCGCCGCCACGGTCGCAGATCCCACTCGGGACACCGCGGCGCGGGCGCGCTCGCTGCGGAGATGCCTGGCATCCACCGCGTCGTCGTGCCCGTAGGGCATCATGCTGCTCGCAGGGTCCTCCTCGTGGTAGACGTGCGCAATGTGCAGACTGAACGTGACGGAGTACCCCACGAACACGATCAGGGCGATGACCTCTATGGGTCCCAATGGCCATCCGGCCAGGCAGATCATGAAGAAGGCCAGCCCGATGATGACACCAAAGACGATGCCGACGACGAGGCATGCAAGGTACGGATCCTGCGTGAATGCCAATACCCCAAGCCAGCCAGATAACGCGGCCACGACGATGGAGATCAAAGTGCTCTCAACCACGGCCACTTCGGCCTCCGCCGTCACCCACGCCGAGGAGACGTGCCAAGCGCGGTTGCTGGTGAGGCTGGCCCGTGAGTTGATCGTGTCGATCCAGCTGTCCCACCTGCCCTTGTAGTCCAGCAAAGGCCGGGCCCCCGCCTCCACTGACACGTCGGCCTCGTAGGACACCTTCACAGCCATCACGTTGCCATCTATCATCCAAACATTACCCCGAACTGCCTGGTTGCTCCTCCAGAAATCGTGGGCGTCCTCTTCGAAGGACCGAGAGGGGAATCTCTTCTGATCCCTCCGAAGGTGCTGCTCAAAATCCTGCGCGAAGCAGACCACCCCTTGCAAGATCGCCAGCTCGCTCGGGAAGGTGGACCGATCGCACATGCCACGCAGCGTCCGCTGCGCCCAGGGGTCGCTGGCGTCGAACAGGGGGTCGAAGCCCCAGATATCCTACAGAAAGAGAGAGGCATGCACATAAGCTGTTGGAGGTCCACGCGGACTTCTTGGATCGGTGCTGGACCCGCCCGGACCTCCGAAAAACTATACCTCCAGGCCCCCTAGCTTCGCAAATGTCGCCCCGCGATGCGCGACGCACGGTTGTCTGCGCGACCTCGCGCTGCCGCCCTCGAGAAGGGCGCCTGCCAAACACTCTCCAACCCGAGCCGCGCTGCGCGAGGCGCGGCTATCTTCGCGCCCCCTCGGGTGACCTGTCAGAGCGAAGGGATCGAACGGACTTACACTGCCCCATGGTGCGCAGCTGAAGCGGCCTCTCGCGGATTGCTGCTGTTCCTGACTTCGTCCTCGCCCGCGACCCGCTCGCGGCCCGTCCGCGACCGCCCCGCGACCCACGCACACTGCCTTGACAAAAATTCGGCGCCTGCGGCGAGCTCGTTATGCACGGTAAAAGATCGGCGCCTGCGGGAGGCTTCCTCAGAGTCTCGAAGTCTGCCGACGACCCCGCCACTCCCTCACTCTCATCCACAAGTGCTAGGGACCCTGTAGGCTTTCTGCTGACTCCAATTCTCTTCTAGGTCACCTAAATTAGCGCATCGCGATGCGCGGCGCGCGGCTATCTTCGTGCCCTCGCGCCGCCGCCCTGGAGAAGGGCGCCTCTTCGACCCGATCATCTTCGCGTCCCTGGGGGTGACCCTACAGGCCTCCTAGATGGGGTCGGAGTTGATGGGGTCGAAGGACCGCGCCGCATCGCCAATGCATCGGCGATGTATCGCCGATGCTCCGGCGACGTCGGCGATGCATCGCCGCCGCCAGCGTGGCCCAAATCGGGCTCCACAATGAGCCGCATCGCAGATGCATCGGCGATGCGGCGCCGTCCTTCCACCCCATTTAGGAGGCCCAGTCACCCAGCTCTTCTTCTCTGAGAAGCACACGAACCTACCTCGCTCTTGACTGCCCTCGCTTCCAAGCGGGAACCAAACGATACCAAGCGAACCGTGGGGCAGCCCGCAGCGGTCAGGCTGCTCGACGAGGAGGCGCGCGGTGTGACTTGGCTTTCGCTGGAAGCGAAAGCGGCGTGGGCGGTTCACCCTCTGCTTCACTCCGCTGTCCTCCTCCTCCAGCCTCCCGACCACGGGCGTGTGCCGTGCCGCGCGGAGGCCCCACACCACCGACACGGACACCCGCTTGCTGTGCGGCACGCGCGCCCCCGCGGACAGCGCCCGGCCCAGACGCGCGGGGCCGGGGCGCTCGACCGGCCCTGGGGGCGGCGCACGCCGCGCGGCGGCCCGCAGCCGCCTCGCCCCGACCTTCGACCACGTGCTGTTGGACGACAGCTCGATCAGCTGCTCGGCGCTGCGGTCGGGCGTCGCCGGGCGCTCCTCGCCGGGGTCGTCCAGCAGCTGGCCGGCGATGGGGCCGCCGCCCCACGGGTGGTCGGTGATGGTCATGGTGGAGCCGGCGATGCTGCCAGAGAAGGCGAGGCTCTGCCACGTGCCGGTGAAGGTGCACGTCGGCTGCTGCTGGATGACCACCGTGACCCCGCCGCCGTCCAGGTAGTTGCCAGAGAAGTCGGCGCAGCCCTCGACGAGGTGCAGCCAACCGTCGTCCTGCTCGCACGGCGCGGTGCCGAAGGAGCACAGGACTTCCAGGTGGCAGCTCTGGTCACCCGGCTGTGCGGGGGTCAGGGTGACCATGTCCGAGCGCATCTCGAAGAAGTTGGCGATGTCGACGTGGCCGCTGTCCCAGTTCTCCAGGACCAGCGGGGGTAGGGCTGAGACAGGGACGGGTGTGACCGAGACCGAAGATACGTCGACCATGCTCTCCCCCGCGGACTCCCAAAAGGCCGCCCAGATGGCGGACGCGTTCTGGGAGAGGCTGGCCATGCGGCCCGACACGGCGACCTGCTGGCAGGAGGAGAAGTCCCAACGCGACCTGTCCGCCGCCAGCGTCTGTCCGCCCGACAGCCTGGTTCGACACTGCCCCATCCCGCCGGCTCTGATGGTGTCTGGCGGCGCCTCTGAGGCGTCCGTGTGGCACCAGTGCAGGTCGCAGTCGCTCTGCGACCCGGATGCCGATGGCGGCGGGGCCTCGCACGCGCGCCACGAAGTCGGAGGCTTCGGCCCCAGGCCCAGCTTCTCGGTGCTCACGAACATCTCCATCATCCTCGCTACCTCCCGCTGGTTGTGGCCCTCGGGGAAGAAGTCCGGGACCCCGGCGGCCACCTCTGCGTTGAGGCCGGTGAAGATGCTGCAGACCAGCACGGACAGGGCGAAGACCACGACGACTGCGATGGGGCGGCGCTCGACGCACTGCACGACGTACAGAAGGAGCCGCTTGCCCCTGCCGAGCCGCTGCGGGGGCCGCGGCGCAGGCTTGCCGGCGTCGGGCTCCGGCTCGACCGCGGGCTCCTGCGTTGGCCTGGTGCCCCCCGCAGGAATGTCCACGAGGCTGGGGAAAAACGGGACGACCGCGGACAGCTTCGCGTTCTGCCGCTCCGCGAGGTGGTGTGCGCGTTTCGCCTGCCACGCCATGAGCGGGGGGATGTACAGGACCAGCAGCAGGAAGGCGATCATCACGCAGAGCCCCAGGTAGAGGCCGAACTCCCGCAGCGGCTGGAGCACGCTCACCAGGTTCGCCAAGAAGCTCGCGGCGGTGGTGGACATGGCCGCGAGACAATTCCGGAACGCGGCGGGGAGAGTGAGCTCGAGTCTCCTGGTGAGCGTGAACTCGACCGGGTTGGCACGGGCATCGCCGCGGCTCTCGTCCAGGACCTGCTCCCTGGACTGCGCCCAGAAGTCGTAGAACACGAACACGACGTCGCTCCCGATGCCGATCGTCAGGAAGATCGCCAGGAAGGAGGCGCTGCTGATCGAGACCGGCGCCAGAACGTAGGACAGAGGAAGCGCGAAGACCATCACGAGCAGCACGGACACGCTGACCACCACGCTCCGCGTGTGGAGCCATAGGAAGATGAGGACCACCGCGGTGGAGCCGAGGGCCAGCAGTGCGTCGTTCCTGAGGGTCAGGCCCACCTCGTGGGCCTGCACGAGGTCCCCGTCGTAGAAGACGCGGGCGCGCGACAGGGAGGCCCCGCTGATCGAAGAAGAGAGAGCTGCACGAGCATGCGCGTTCGGAGCCCTGCGCGGATTTCCGGGAGCGGCGCCGAACTCTGCTCCCTGGCGCGCTCCGCGCGCCTCCGCGCGCCCGGGGCCCAGCGCGCGCCGACCCTGCGCATCCCTGAACCGACCCCTGACCCCCCTGGCGTGGCCTGGGCCCCACAGGCCGACGTACACCCTGCGAAATGCTTAAGAAACCATGGGTTAAGAAATTCAGAGTCTCCGAACTGGAATAAAAACCCAGAACTTCTATCAAAATCTTGGGATTTACATTGACAAGTTAAGAATAATCAAGACTCTGGCCGAAAACTTAGGTTTTCTTAAGCATCGCCTAAGGTGTACCCCCCTAGATGGGGAATTCGGCTGTTCCCTTGGGGCTTCTGCGGGGGACATGCCCAACCCGGGTGGTGGGATGGTGGGGCTCGGGCTGGGGATGTGGGATTCGTGAAATGATACTGAGACCCAGAGAAGTCAGCGCGGGCATCCCAACGTTTATGCTCGCGCAGTTTCACCTTCTCCGGGCTGAGGAACGGGTAGATCTCGTCCGCGAGGAGCCTGTCGTACTCCGCCGTGACGCTGCCCGCCGTCGTCCCGTCGTCCCACTTGTTGATCTGCAACCTTGCATGGGCCCAGGGAGACACATATAAATCGATTCAAATCCCAGGATCCTGTATATGTTTCAATATATCCTGGATTGTTCTTTTTCCAACTAATTCCACTACTTAATCAAATAATAAGCGGCATGAACATGAACTGTTGACGGTCCGCGCGGGTTTCTTGGATCTGCGATGGATTATTATCCGATGTATGTCCCTCTCTCTCCCTCACACTTACACACACACACACACACACGTGCCGGCGGGCATGTTGCGTGACCCTTCTCGGGGGCCCTCGGGAGCCCCACAGGGTGCGACCCTGTGTTGGCCCCGTGGCCCAACGGGGCTGTGTGACCCCGTATTGTCCATGAGCGCCACCCCAATACAGAGCCCTTGTTACGCAAACGAAATTGACGGCGCCATATTTCTCATAAGCTCATGGAAATGAGCGCTGATTTGTGTCTGTGCCTGTCGCGCAAGTGAACCGCTGTTCGCACACAACTGCATGCCCTTCCCGGACACTCTCGCGTCGACCTGCATGGTCTGATCGAGCTCCGCCTTTTTCTCTTCTCTCGTCTCGTGCTCTTCCGCTTCGTGCCTGCATAAGTTTCTGGTGCAGACCACCGCTCACCTTGACCGGCGCCTGACCGTCTCGCACACCCTGGCGCCTGCCAACTTCGATGAAACAGAGGAGGAGGAGGAGGAGGAGGAGGAGGAGGAGGAGGAGGAGGAGGAGGAGGAGGAGGAGGAGGGGGAGGGGGAGGAGGAGGAGGAGGAGGAGGAGGAGGAGGAGGGTTTTTTTCAACAAGACCTCGGGATGAGCCCACATGGGGTGCACTGCAAGGCGCACGCCAACCCAGCAGCGGGACACACAACCAGTTCCTTGCAAGTGAGGTTCGGCTGCGTGTCGCAAACTGAATCAGAGTCTTCGGGTTCTGCCTCCAGAAATCTGGGCTGGAGCCTTCGCGGCCCCTCATCCTCTTCGGGGGGGCGGGACGGCCGACGAACTGGACTGACTAAGAATAAGAAGAGGCTGCTCCTGTGGAGCCTCGCCTTGCTTCGCAGCAACGGGGGAAGCCATGGGGTGCTGCCCCTCACTCGACCACAAAACTCCAGGAATCGAGCGATTCGCGGCATGCACCTTGCGCGCCCTCGACGTCTGTGCGTCTAGCACCGCCGCCGAAGGACCGCAACATCCAGGAAAAAACGTTTTTCGATGCGGGCTAGATTATCATTGCCCTGCTTACCGGCTGGGCCGTACTACCCTAACTGAGCGCAGGTGATCTAGAGCGTTTCCTTTTCCAACCTCCTTCCTTTCCCTGCTCGGGAGGTTTACCTCCCCCCACCCTGCGTCTGGACGGGCTTCCCCCGCGAGGTGTCAGAAGGCCCTTTTCGGCCCAAGATGGCTCCAAGAGGGCTTCAAAGAGTGCGAGATGGCCTCCAAGATGGCGCAAGATAGCGGTCGATGGCTCAAGGTAGCCTCCGACACGCCTCCAGGAGGCCACAAGACGGCCCCAAGACGGTTTCAAGTGCCCTCCGAACCCTCCGAGGACTCCCCCAAGAGGCCAAGATCTCTCAAAAACCGGGGGAAAATCAATGTTGTTTGCCTTCTCGCTTTCTCGCCTCCGATGGGCTCTTGAGGCCTCAAGATGGCCCCAAAACGGCCCAAGATAGTCCCACGAGGGGCCCAAGAGGGCCCCAAAACGGCCCCAAGAGCGCCCAAGAGTACCTCAAAAGCGGCCCAAAAGGGCCCCAAGACGGCATCGCTTAGCCTCCGAGGGGGCGGTGGGAATTAGAGACCCCCTCTTTCTAAGCGAAAGGACCCAGGAAGGCCCCCAGACCCCCCAAAGAGCCCCAAGAGGGCCCCATGACGCCCCAAAAAGAACCCCAAGAGGGCTCCAAGAAGGCCCTGAGAGGACCTCAAGAGAGCCTCAAGAAAAAGCTCCAGGAGGGCCCCAAGATAGCCCCAATATGGCTCCAAGTTTCGGAACGCACGCGAGCTTAATATGCACATCGGTGCAACAGCCATTACGGGTCATCGAAGCACCCCTCACCCCTCATCGAAGCACCATCGTAGCTTGCACCGATTTCCATCTTAAGCTTCAATGCGGGAAGCTCTTTGTGATCCTTGTTATCCCGAAGACGGCTGCGCAACTGCACGCTTCCTGCCGCCCCTGATTCACCGACTCCCGTGCTGATCGTTTCTGGATGGGCTGGTGGGGATACTTTTTCGTCGCAACCGCAGGCGAGCGCGCCAGCGGCGAGTGAGGTCCGAGCGGGCCGCGCAAGAGCCGAATTGCCTAACGCCGACGGGTCGGCGACCTGGCTGGCGGGGATGCGCGAAGCGCCAAGAATTCCTCGGGCACGCGGAGACCGCGGGGCCACACCCATTATAAACATAAAAAGAGTAACGCGGCCTCAACTTTAGAGCGTGAGACTCGCGCAGGACCCGTCCCCCCACCGAAGCTGTCATTCCTCGTTAACGAAGCGATGGCAGAGGCCGCGCACATACTTCTGAGAGGCCTGCAGAAGAAAAATGTGATCGCTAGCTAGGGAGGTGATATGAACGGTGACTCTTGGGGCCTCATGGGCTCTATCGGGGGCAACCCAAGGGCGCTCGGAGAGGTCGAGACGGGGCCATTGGTGCAGGATGCTGCCAGCGAGCTTACAAACCGCCTTGGACACGCGGATGCAAACATCGAGAGCCTGTCGCTCGTCTTCTGAAGCCCTAGGTTGCAGGTTGTCTTCAGCCTTGGCCGCGCTGTCCGCGGTCAGGTTACCTAGCCTGCGCCACCTGTCCTCCTGAGAGATGCCTTCCTCGTCTGGATCGAGGTGGGCCTTCACCTTGCCTTATCAGAAATCGCAGGGGCTCCTAGATTGCGCAACATCATCAGGCCTGCGCATGGGGCGCTTATGAAAGAACTGTAGCTCTCCCGGGGCTGGGGCCAGGTCCACTACATTCTCACAGTCGCTGAAAACCGAAGAACCGAAGACTCGCTGGACAGCTCCACGCCAGCACCGGCCAGCGCGGCGAATTCGCCACGCTGGGGGCTTTGCTGGAACGGAGCGAAAACGAAAGCACAAAACACATCTTTCCAAGGCCAATCGAATCGACCCGGCAAAGCCCTGGCCCAGCCCTGGAAGCTCAGCCACCTGACGCCTGAAACAGCAAGCGCCGGCGCCCGCAACAATTGACCCGCTGAAACTGCCATTGTCGGGGGGGGGGGGGAGGGGGGAGGGGGGGGGGGGCGCCAGACATCGACGGCTTTGACGTCGGAATTTTCGGCCGCGGGCCTCGGAAACGCACCCCCAGGACGAGGGAACAAGCCGCGGCAAAACAGTAAGTCTGCGAGGGTGTCGGTCGGATCCGCGACGGCAGCCGCTTCCAAGATATCTTTGATTGATCAGATCAGCGCGAGTGGACTCGAGGCTTGGAAAATTCCGAAGCCCATTGACAGAGGCGCCTCCTCCTTGCCCGCGCATCGCCCAGCGATCATTGGCCAACAACTGGCCAGCTTTTGACGGCCCTACCGTGCGTCCAGAGAGCGTCGCGCGCGAGGCTGCGGATGGTACCTCTGGCTAGCGCCCACCACATCGTGGATCAAATCTATTTCGGAACAACGTCATAACACAATCGATCGCGAGGGGGCCCAAGCTCAGCGCGCGACTCGCGTTCTAACTTGCGAAGAACATCAACCCAAAAACACATCTTGAGCAGCGCAGGTGGGACCGTCGTGAGCTAATCTTCTTCTCCGGAGTCCGACTCGGAGAGCGACGCAGCTCGGCATCTTTCAGCCGATCCTGATGAGCAACGACCTCATCGCTGACAACGGTCTGCTAACCTGTCGCCACACGGGGATGGGCCCATGGAAGGCCGCCCCCACGCTTGCCTCGGAGCGGGGAGGGGGATGGAATGGGGATAAGAACGGGTTTGCATCTCACAACGGGGGCCACGGCCCCCACCCAGGTGGGATCATCGTTGAGGGGGGGGGATGTCAGAGAACGTCCCGGGGCCCTGGGCCCCATGACTGCCCCAGCTCCCCTCCGAATTCTGCCGAGCTCAAAATTTGAAATGCCGCGCGCCTCAGCTCTGCGGAGAACCTCTTTTGATGTATCTACCCAGGCTGCAGGAAAGCCCGACCATTTTCAATCGGCATCCTTGAGGTGTGGGGCCGCGCAGACTCTAAACTTCATACTTCCTATTTAGCAGCGCTCCTGGGCCCGCCCGCGGCACCGTCGATGCCTAGGTCGATCGCGCCGTCGGCGGGCCCCCCCTGCCAGCGGCCCTGGAAAGCCGAGCGGCCGCAGTGTCGCATCCTTGCCGGGCGTGACGAAGGCGGCCTTGTCGCGCGAGATCTCGCGGCCCACCTCGGCCACGATCGCGCGGCGCGGGCGCGCAGGGGGCCCCCGAAGACTCGAAGCGACCTGAGCCACTGCGCCAGTGCGCGACATGCCGCTATCGTAAATGCACGGGTGAAGCTGCGTTTCTGGAAGGGAGACGATCTCGTCGAAGCTCTCAATGCAGCGCGCCTCGGCGAACGACGCGGCAAGGCTGCAACCGACGATGGCCCCCCAGACCGAACGAAGGGGCCCGGCAATAAGACCGCCCATGCCCGCGAACCTGACGCCGCGGTAGGCCGGGAGAGAGAAGGAGAGAGAGAGAGAGAGGGAGACAGAGAGAGAGAGAGAGAGAGAAAGAGAGAGAAATATATAACAATGAGCAAGACATATATATAGAGAGAGAGAAATAAAGAAAGAAAGAAAGAAAGAGAGAGAGCGAGAGAGAGATATAGAGAGAGAGGGAGGGGAAAGAAAAACAACAAAGGCGAACTATACATAAATATAGAGAGAGCTCAAACAGCACAGGCGGGAACTGGAACCTATCGCAGTGGGAATCGAGCCTCTCCAACGAAATGCCTTCATAGAACTTTGTCATGCCCCGCGGCATGGCCCCCTTCCGATTTGGGGCGCCGCGCCACGTCAGTGGCTGAGGCAAGCGGCTGCCCCGCGTAGCACGGCCTCGCAAAAACGAGCTTCCATTGCTGAGCGCAGATCCTGCGGCATCGCCCCCGCGGGCGGCGCGGCGGGCAGAACGGGCCGATGGGCCTCCAGCCGCCGTTCGGCACCAAAAAAAGAATGACCTGCACGAGCTGCAACTGTTGGGGCAGTCGAGGGATATTTTCCACGAGGCAAATCATGATGGATACCACTTGGCGACGCTCATCTGTCATGCACGAATAATATCGCACGTGGGATCCGTCGATCGCACGCGCCGTTCAGGTCGAGCCCACCCTGGGGGCCTCTCTCAAGGAACCGACTTGCACAACCGGAAGGGGCGAAAGGGGTGGGTGGGGGGGGCGCGCCGCGCTGACTCCTCTCACTGAAAAGAATTGCGGCGCGGGTCGGCGCGGGCGTCGCCGCGCGAAACATCGGCGGTGCCAGCCGACCTCGCAGAAGTGACCCTACCAATGCTCCTCGAATCCTGGTCGGGCTCAGCGCGGGGGCGAGGGGTGCCCGCGCGCGTCTGGCATCGCACTGGCGACGCTGCGCGGGGGCCCAGGAACTTGGGGAGGTCTCCGGGCGGATCTCCAAAAAGACGGACGGGCGCGCTGATGGCCCCCGGGGGAACTGAGCTCGGTGCATCTTCATTGCCGGAACGAACAGGACAACCATTTAATCCCAAAGAGATGCGGGCGCTTTGGGTCATGGAGGGAGTTCCTAGACACCGAAGCCGATTTCAGCTTGGGAGGGCGGCCCGTGGAAACGCGCCTAGGAAGCTGGGCGCGCGCGCGACCTCGGCGACTTCAGATTCCGCAAGCTCGCCCCGCATCTGGTAGAAGCGCGGCAGATCGTCCTGAGCGCCCTGAGAAGGGGGCCCCTGGGGCCAACTTGTCAAGCGTAGCCCCTCCGAACCCGAACGCGCGTTCCCACGGTGGAAGAGCCCCGGGGGGCCCCGCGGGCCTTTCCAAAAGGATGGGCGGGGATTTGTCGAAAACCAACGCATGCAAGGTAGACGCTCTCTCACTCAACTCGAGTCTCGCGGGCGCGCGCGGGGGGGCGTTCGACAAAGAAAGCGAAATATCCTCGGTGGCCTCGCGCAGGCCCTTGGAAGCTGCGAAAAAAAAAAAAAAAAAAAAAAAAAAAAAAAAAAAAAAAAAAAAAAACGCCCTCATCCCTCCCGCCCGCGGCGGGCAGGCCCCGCCACGCTGCGGCGCCGCGCGCTGCCCAGACATGCGCGCTGGGAAGCCGCTGTTCAAAATCGCCGGGGCCCACGTAGAAGCCCCCTGTCGCCGGCACCTCCGAAGCATGGGTGCCCCGAATTCCGCCGATTGGGTTCGAAATGTCCGCGCTTCTGTCCGAAAGCCTTTCAGACCAGAACATGTAAACCGCAACCGACATGACCTGGAGTTTTTGGCCACCAGGCAGGCGCGCAATGCCAGCGATGGCCCTCGCGGGGGCCAGCTCGGAGCTGCCGCTGGACAGGGGGTGCAGACCCAAGAAGAAACGAACGAGCGACGATGGTCACTCCACCGGGACTGCGCTCCCCAGTGCCAAGGGCCGCTGGGAAGAAAATTCCCTTCCAACCGTCGCAAAGGCACCGTGCCGCCGCATCGTTGCGCTATGTAACGCTAGCCAGATGGCGTTCCTGAGCGGCCACTGCGCAGGCCTGGGCCCCGAGGAGCCACTCCTTGCACGACTCCCGCGACGTGGAATTGCAAGTTTCAAACTCAAGACACAATTTGTCCGCGGACTGGGCCTCGGGTTCCATGGCGAAAGCAAAACCGGAACCAAAACTGGAACCCATCCCAAAACCTCGGCCCACCTGGGACCCGCCATTGGACGCCTGGGCGTGGATGGGCCTGGCCTAGCCAGGAGCAGGCTGGCGGCGCCAACGCGCGTCGCAGCCTGTCCGCGAGCTCGGGGCTAGCCCCAGAAGCTGGATCCGAAGGGCTCTGCTTGGCAAGCTCAGCATGCGTCTCACCGGCTGGGGCCCCGCCGCCAGCCTCAGAAACCGTCGCTACCACCTGCGACGCCGAGCCACCGCCCGCAGCTGCTGCATCGCGCCCGTCCTGTGCGCCTGGAACAACACCTCCCTCCGTCTTGCTTCTTAGCCAGCCAAGCCAGGTGCGATCGATATTCATCGCGTGCTTGGCGGAAGCCCGCCGCCACTTCGCCCAGCAACTTGTTGGCCAGGTCCTTGAAGCCCGCCTGCAGCTGCTGCTTCCTCTCGTCCAGCTGCTTCGTGTCTTCCCAGGTGAGCTCGTGCTCGTCCAGACCGGTGAACAGGTCATCCTCCAGCTGCAAATCCAAGCTCTCGTCACCGTCCACAAGGGCGTTGAGGCTGATCGACGCTGAGGCGACCTGTGAATCCGCTTACTCCTCGACCTGCACCTCTTCTATGATCTGAATGAACAACTTCTTGTGCATACCATCATACTCGTCAGGCGCCTCTGGCAATGACTTGATGTGGCCCTGGAGGTCCAGCGCGTCATTCTGCCACTTGTCAAACTTGTCCAGTTCCCACGAGAGGCGCTTGGTGGAGTTGTCCTGCTTGGGCCGTAGGCTGAACTCGAGAACCTGGACTTCTCGCAACGTTGTGCCAACCCGTGCTGCCCCTGCTTGGAAGCAAAGGCCCTGAGGGTCTCCAGTCCGTCCAGCGAGAGGCCTTCGGTGTTGATCTTGTCACGAGATGGAAGAGCTAGCTGGCCACGCACTGCCTGCACCCGCTGGCGCGCCTCCAGCGATTCTGCCTCCGACGGGGCCTGGTGGGAGTGGAGGCAGTGCCAGCTCACTATACGGAGCGTCAGTTACAGCATCGCGAGACATGTTTCCCGACGTGTGGTAGACGAACTGCGAGGACGACTCTGAATTTTCTGCTTTGCAATGCTTGCGCCACCACCAGCTGATCTTATTCTTGGCGCAACCGCACGCACAGTTCCAGAAGACGCCTCGCATCAGTGGGTTCCTCTGGTTCCAAGAATATCCCATGGCGGCGGAATGGTGCACGAAAGAGCGAAGCCAAATTGACTCGCAGTTGCAACGCCGTTCTGAAGTTCGCAGTTGCAAGCGCAGGCAAAACGCCTGAGCCAGAACGGCTGGAGGAGGAGGGTGGGAGGATGAGGAGGAGGAGGAGGAGGAGGAGGCGGAGGAGGAGGAAGAGGAGGAGGAGGAGGCGGATGAGGAGGAGGAGGAGGAGGAGGAGGAGGATGAGGAGGAGGAGAGGGAGGACAACACGTCGAACCCTGGCGCCCGCGGACTTACAAAGTGTCTGTGCCCGTTGCTCACTCCCGACGAAGCCTGAAGACGAAGGCCGATTCACCATCTTCGATCTTCGAACCTCGAAGAACCTCGAACCTCGATCCTCGAAACTGGAAGCTCGAAGCTCGACACTCGAAGCTCGAAGCTCGATCTTGGATCCTCGAACTTCGATCCTCGATCCTCGAACCTCGATCCTCGAAGCTCGAAGCTCGAACCTCGATCCTCGAAGCTCGATCCTCGAGCCTCGAAACCTCGATCTGTGTCTGTGCCTCTTGTTCCCTGCCGGAGAGCCTAAAGTAGAATGTCGACTTCAGCGCCCGCGCGGCTGGCGGGGGCGAGCCCGCCGGCGGGGACTCAAAGCCCGAGGGCAGGAGCCTGTGCAGGTCAAGGAGGTTGGTCTCGCAGGCGGACGAGGACCTGCCGCGGGCTCGACGAGTGATTCTCCCCCTGCTCCTCCTACCTCCCCCTGCTCCTCATCCTCAGCCTCCCCCTCCTCCTCCCCCCCCCCTCCTCCCCCTGCTCCTCCTCCCTCCCCCTGCCCCTCCTGCTCCCGCTGCTCCTCCTGCTCCTCCTCCTCCTCCTCCTCCTCCTCCTCCTCCTCCTCCTTTTCCTTTTCCTCCTCCTTTTCCTCCTCCTTTTCCTCCTCCATATCCACCTCCTCCTCTCTTCTTTGCCTCCTGCCTCCTCCTCCTCCTCCTCCTCCTCCTCCTCCTCCTCCTCCTCCTCCTCCTCCTCCTCCTCCTCCTCCTCCCCCTCCTCCTGCTCCTCTCCTCCTGCTGCTGCTGCTGCTGCTGCTCCTCCTCCTCCTCCTCCTCGTCCTCGTCCTCCTCCTCCTTCTCCTCCTCCTCCTCCTCTTCCTCCTCCATTCCTTCTCCTTATGGAGAACTTTGTCCTGTCGCACCCCGAGGTCCGTTTTTAGGGCGGGCCGGGCGTTTCGCCTGAGACTTTTCCACCATCTATGATTCTGACGCTTAACAGGTGACAACAGCTTCACATATGGAGGGCGGGCCGCCTTTAAAATATGGCTCTCGCCTTCGCGCCGCGTACATTTGTTACAACACATTGCAAGAGATTCATAGATTGAGGGCGGGTCGTTTTCAAAATGTGGCTCTCGCCTTAGCGTCGCGCACACTCGTCTTAAACAATTGCAAAAGTTTCACGGATTGAAGGCGGGTGGTCTTCAATATGTGGCTCTCGCCTAAGCGACGCGCATATTCGCTATGAGTGCAAGAGCTTCACGGATTGAGGCGGGTCGTTTTCACAATGTGGCTCTCGCCTTAGCGCCGCGCGCATTCGTTACAAAAATGCAAGGGCTTCACAGATTGAGGGCGGCTCCTTTTCAACGTGCGGCTCTCGCCTTAGCGCCTCGCGCATTCTTTTTTCTAAAAGAAAAGCAAGAGTTTCACGGATTCCCATGATCGACGCACCAGAAGCGGTGCTTTGGAAGGATTCAGGATGATGCGGGCGCAACAGTTATGTTGATGCACTGTGTGGAAATCCCAAATATGGCGTTCTGGCACGATTCTGGACCGTCGAGACGCAGCAGTCAGGTGGATACGTGGCGTTGGAATCCCGAGAACAATGTTTTGGCACGCTTCTGGATCTTCAAACTGTTGTGCTCCAACGAGGAAGTTCCCTCAATGGAAACGAACCGTTGTAGAGGCCTATGCAGAGGGAGCTTGGAGGAAGGGTGAATTCCAACATCGTTGATGACCCTTGGGTCTCCACTGGTCCTCCTCCTCCTCCTCCTCCTCCTCCTCCTCCTCCTCCTCCTCCTCCTCCTCCTCCTCCCCCTTAATCCCAATGCTCATCCCCATCTCCTCCTCTTCCTCCTTTTCCTTCTCGCCTCCTCCTCGCCTCCTCCTCCTCCTCCTTTGTTCCTCCCTCTCCATGCTCATCCCCATTCTCCCCCGGCTCCTCCTCGTCTTTTTCTTCTTCTTCTTCTTACTCCTCCTCCTCCTCCTCCTCCTCCTCCTCCTCCACTCCGCTTCCTTAACATAATTTCTCCCTGTCGCACCCCGAGGCCCGTTTTTTAGGGCGGGATGGGCGTTTCGCCTGAGTCTTCCTCACCATTTATGATTCTGACGCTTAACAGGTGACAACAGCTTCACAGATGGAGGGCGGGCGGTTTTCAAAATCTGGCTATGGCTCCAGCGCCGCGCACATGTGTCTTAAACACTTGCAAGAGCTTCACGGATTGAGGGTGGGTAGTTTTCAAAATGTGATTCTGGCCATAGCGCCACGCACATTCGTTTCAAACAGTTGCAAGGGTTTCACGGATTGAGGGCGGGTGGTTTTCAAAATGTGGCTCTGGCCCTAGCGCCGCGCATCTTCGTTCATACTACTAGGAAGAGTTTCACGGATTTCCATGCACAGCGTATCAGACATGGTGTTTTGGAAGGGTTCAGTATTATGCGGGTGCAACAGTTATGTTGGTTCGCGGTGCTGAACTCCCAAAAATGATGTTCTGGCACGATTCAGGATCGTCAACACGCAGCAGTTAGGTTGATACTTCGAGTTAAAATCCAGAGAACAATGTTTTGGCATGCCTCAGGGTCTTCAAACGGTTGTCTTCCAACGGGACAATTCCCTCAATGGAAATGAACCGTGGTAGGGGCCTATGTAGAGGGAGCTTGGAGGGAGGGCTTCGTCCAACATCGTTGATGACTCTTGGGTTTACGCTGGTCCTCCTCCTCCTCCTCCTCATCCTTCTCCTCTTCCTTTTTAGCGTTAGGCGGACTTTAGCAACTAGTCTTCAGCGTTCTGGTAGCTCCTGATCCTCCTTCTCCTCCTCCTCCTTCTCCTCCTCCCTTCTGTCGAAGATCGATCGAAGAAGACCAAGCGGCATTCACATAGACTTTCGACGCTCCGCGCAGATTTCTTGGATCTGCGCCAGGCGGAGGAGCACCCACCCTCCTCACCCCAACCTGACCTCGCCGATCGAGGTTCGAAGCCCGAGGAACTGTTTCGTTCGGAGCCCGCTTGCCCTCTTAAGGGGCTCTGGGAGGCTCGTCGCCACGGCTGGACTCCCTCCGACACTCTCCCTGCACGGGTCCAGCGGTCGATCCTCCCAGGTCGCCCACCGCAGTCGACCGACGCTTCATCCATGCCTCTGCTCACACCTCGAGCCCACCAGGCCAGGGGGCAAGAGCAGGGGCCCACGCGGCCGAGTGTCTTGTCCGTGCGCTCCTCCTCCTGGCGCCCAGAATGGGGGGCAGCAGCAGGGGCACGGGTCGAACTGGGGCAACCCCAGGATACCGATACCGCCACTCCCCGGACCTCTCCCGGGGTCCGGCCTGACCAGGATCTCGAGGCGAATCCAGCGGTGGCGACGAGGGCCTCCCAGGAGGCCCGTAGAGGCGAAACACGAGGGAAGGGCAGCGGCAGTGGTACCCATTCCTCCTCTGATGGGCATGGGTCGAACGTCGATCGCCGAGGACCGCGGCTGGCAGGTCCAGTGGTCCATCATGGCCATCACTGCCGCGGCCGGGAGCATGTCGGCGCCCTGGCCCCCCGGCAGCAAGTCGAACCACTGCGCGCCAGGGCCGTCCGGCAGGGCGACCTCCGAGGCCGCGTAGTCCGCGAAGGACTCGCCGCGGGTGCAGCCCCACCTGTTATCGGGGAGACGCAAGATTCGGGTTCGGGGGACTTGAATTGGCCTGACGGGGCCGTCAGGAAAAAAACGAGACTCGGCCTAAATTTGGCACGAACTCCTGCTGCAAACAGCCCGCGAAAACTGGACCGTCAAAATTGAAGACGCGCCCGTCAAAAAACGTCAGCAAACCCGAGTTCGGCGAAGTCGAGTCTTACGTTTCCCCGATGTAAGACGAAGCCAAGACGAGGGCACAATCGGGTGAGGATAAATCGAGGATCTCTAAGATCCAGCGGCTCTGGAGGATGTCTCGGGCGCCGCGGTCTTCTCAGAGCGTTCCGGAAGGCTCTGAGAGCGTCCCAGAACGCTCTGGAACGGATTTGTCCTCGTCCTAGCCCCGTCCGACCTGTGGTGTTCGGGCACTCTCGACTCGCACAGGTCCCTCCAGCCCGGCAGCATCGTCAAGCGGTCCTCGAAATCCTTCACCTCACGGAGCGCCCGGGAGTCGAGCATGTCTCCGTCCAGCGGCTCGTAGTACAGGGCCAAATGCCTCTCCGATATCAGGGTCGCCAAGCTCCTGCCAGACAGCCTCCGGCTGTTCTGCTCCCTGTTCTCCAGGGCGAGCGAGAAGGCGTCCATCCTCCTCAGGGCGTCACCGTCTGCGCGGATGAACGACGAGAAGTCGCTTTCGATGTCCACCTGAGCGATGAAACGAAACTGCTCTTACGCGAGGTGGCATACCGAACGAACGCGCGGCTTTACGTGGGCCGGGGACGCGGCACGCCACACCGAAAACGAGGGCGCTCACGCGCGACCTTACGCGGGCAGCTTACGCGCCGATGTCTTCGAAAATGACCCCGCTTTTCGGCTGCACGCAAGGGTGACCCTGGGTAAGAGTGACCTATGGTGCGAGGCATCAAGGGGGGGGCGCGGGAGACCCCTATGAGCCCGCACCAAGGGTCACTCCAGCGAAGGGTCCCTCTTACATGTAGTCGATTCCTGCGTCGCTCACCTCGCGTCGAAGCGCCACCAGCAAGATGAGCAGGACTGTCGTGTAGGCACACATGAGGGTGCGAGGCCTCTGCACCGACAGGCGGCAGTATGCCCTGAGGCGAACGGCCCCCCTCGTCCTCGGGGCACTGCTCAGCCAGGGGTCGCCATCGAGGCCGCCAGGACATCGAGCCTGCTCTGCGGAGGCAGAAGCCTCCCTCTCCGCACGAGGGCCCTTCCCTGGGATCCGACGTAGCGAGACAAATGCAACACCGTGAAAGATCACGCCCAGAGCCACAGACTGTCATTTTCTGAGCCGAATCGATCCGTGAGGGTTCCAAGGCCCGACGCTGGGCGAAAACGCCTGTTGTGAAACAAATGCTCCACCAGGATCTCAGGGTTGGACGAGGAGAAACCTGCCTAAGCACAAACTTTCGGACGCCTGTGCAGATTTCTGGGACCAGCTAAGCTTTCCCCCCCTGGCGCGCGGAGCGCGCCAGGGGCTGCGCCCGCAAGCACCGCCCAGGGCGGCCTGGCGCCGACTCGAGAAAGCCGCGCGGAGCTCCGAAAGAGTATGTTTGGGCAGCAACCTCTTCTCCGAGACCTCTGGGGGGACAAAAAAGGGGCACCAGTACCGCGACTCCCCGGACCTGTCCTGGGGTGCGGTCTGACTAAGACCTGCGAGAACCCAGCCGTGGCGACGTGGCCTCTGCAGGACGATCGGCAGTGCCGGATCTTTCCGCCCCCCGCTCCTCCTCCTCCGAGAGAGCCTGGCGCGCTGGATCGGCGAAGAAGAGGCCCCGGAACTCCTCCCAGGTGACGCGGGCATCGCCGTCCGACGCCGACCCATCGGCCAGCAGGCGGCCGCAGTCGTGCCGCGAGCCATCCGCCCACACCACCTCGCCGCCGGGCTGCACGACGCACTCCTGGGAAGGGCAAGAGACCTGCACCAGCACAGGCGTGCGGGGGTCCGCACGGGTCTGAAACGAAGCCACGATCGGAACAACATCGGATCGGGATACGTCGGGGATCTCTGAGATCCGGCGGCTCTGGAGGACGTATGGGGCGCCGCGGCCGCTCCATGATCGGTTACGCGCAACAGTGACCGTAGGCCAGAGCGACCTTTGGTGCGCGACGCTCGGGGGCCGCGGGGAGGCCGAACCAGAGCGCGCAAGCCGCTGCCATTGCATCGCAGTCAGCCATCTGGGGACCCCGGAGTGCCCGCATCAGAGTTGACCCCGGCGAAAAGCCACTCTTACGTATAGTCGACATGAGCGTTCCGGAACGCTCCGAGAGCGTTCCGGAACTCTCCGTCGCGATGCATACACCTTGCGAAATGCTTAAGAAATCATGGGTTAAGAAATTCATAGTCTCAGAACTTGACTAAAAACCCACAATTTCTATTAAAATCTTAGGATTTACGTTGAAACATTAAGAATCATCGAGACCTTGGCCGAAAACTTGGGTTTTCTTAAGCATCGCCGAAAGTGTACCGTTCCAAGGCCTGCCTAATTTAGCTGTACGGAGGTCCGCGCGGATCTGGGTCGGCGCGGGGTCCCCCTCCCCGGGCCCCTTCCCCAGCGCGCGCGCGCGCCGAGGTCGGCGCGGGAGGCGTTCAGCCGAGATGCTTCGTCTATGGTGACTACCTACCAGACCACCCCAACCCAACCCGAAGACCCGAATTTGACCCGAATTTCGGGTTGGGGGGGGTACGGATACCATGTGTTTTTTCAACGTTCCCGGACCCCCCCCCACTGGAAATGGAAGGCAAATTGAGGGCTTCGGGTTGGGTTGGGGTGGTTTGGTGGGTGGTGATATGGTGGCATCACCCTGGCGGCACGTGGGCGCCGGAGCCCTCCAGCCGCCCTGGGAGCGCCTGTCCCCCCACTGCGGAGAAGTTCAGCTTCCGCTTTACACACGACTCTTCGTCCAACGAGCTCCAGAGCCCGTTGCCGGGCCGAGGGTCCATCAGAAACGGATCAGGGACGCAAGACTACCCCTGGGAATGGGTTGGGAGCTCCAGGACCGCGGATGGAAGAAATCAGCTCGGAGTATGCCTGGGCGCGCGAGGATGGCCGCGCGGACCTCCGATTGCTCACGTTTTTAGGCACTTGTTAACGACACGCAGGGCGTAGCATGATTGATACCTCGCCCATTGCCCCTTGCCTCTCTGGCCGCTTTCCTGGTATGTTCCATCGATCCGTTCGTCACTGCAACATGTTGGCGCGAAACCAGTAACCACTCTCAGGAGGAGGAAGGTGAACCAGCGCTCTGCTTGACAAACAAAAGATTCGACTTCAGCTGCAATTGCTTTTGAAATTATCATTCTACCTTGGAGGAGGCCAGGGGGTCTGAATTGGATGGGCCCCGAGAGATTTGGTCACGAGGGGGGGACAAGGGCAAATCCGTGCAAAATTGGCCCCCAGACCCCTTCCAGGGTCCCTCTTGTGCGGCTTCTTACCACAACCACTCCCGAACCCAGCACCTCGGACTTGCACCCCCCTTCCTGCTGGCAGGAACCAGTGCTGGGCCACCCCAGGCCCCCCGCCGGCTCTAACGCCACAGGTCGCTCCGGCGAAGGGCTGCTCTTGCGTGGCCGACATCTCGGACGCTCACGGCCGACGCATCGCCGATGCACCGGCGGTGCATCGGCACCGTCGGCGCGGAGAAAGTCGGGCTCTACATCGTGCCGCATCGCCGATGCGTCAGCGATGCGGCGCGATCCTCCGACCCCATCTGCTCCGACGCCTTGGTTTCCTCTTCTTCGCGCTCCACGTCGGCGTGGCCGCGCAGCGCCGCCGCGAGGTCGCCCGCCCGGGCCGTGCCGACTGCCGCCGAGGCGTCGCCGCGAGCCTCGCAGGCGCCGAACAGCTCGCGGAGGCGCCGCTCGAGAGCGGCGCCCGCGCCCGCGCAGCCCTGCGGCGGCCCCGGAGCGGCCCCGGGCAGCCCTGGTGAGGGGCCACGACGTCTCTACAGGGCGTCTTGTCGGACGCTTTCGACGGTTCGCAGAAAAACCGAAGGATTGCAAAAAAAAAAAAACCCAGGATTGCAAAACAAAAAAAACAGGACTGCAAAAAAACCCAGGGCTTTTTTTTGCAATCTAGGTTTTTTTTGCAATCCTGTTTTTTTTTTTGCAATCCTTCGTTCCCGAAACAATCCAGCCACGGGAGGCCTTCCAGCGGCTGCGCCTCGCTGAGAGCGTTCCTGGGGTGCCCGGATCGTCCCGAGCGACGGCCGGAGGCCCGAGTCACGGCCCCAGAACGTGCAGGGGACCAACTCAGGGTGGGGAAGCCGAGGGCTGGAATCGGGTCAGGAGCTTTTGCCTAGCGTGTCGCCGCGGCGGCTCCGGCGACACGCTATCCTCTGCGAGTGGACAGCGTGTCGTTCCGCTCCGCGGGGCGGAAGGCTCGGCAAGGCTCGGGGCATTGACGGCTGGGGACTGGGACGTGGATGAGCGTGTCGCGCCGAAGCGCGGTGGGCTAGCACCGTCGGAGCGACACGCAATCCAAAAGTTCCCGACCGTAGCGGGGGACCAGCTCAGGGGGGGCAGCATCGGGCTGGAATCGGAGATGCATCGCCGATAGATCGGCGACATGCCCCCGATGGCGAATCCGCACGTTCCTGGCGGGGCGGGCCATCGGGCCCCTATCGGCGATCAATGGACGACTGGGGGTCGATACCTCCCCCCTGAGCCTATACCCCGCAACGTACTTCTTATCACTGGCGATAAACGGGCGTGACCGGGGGGGAGGGGGGGGAAGGGGCTGGCCAAGTCACTATTCGCGTCGGCGCCGCGCCGTCTGGGAATGCCTGGGAATGGCTCGGCGCCGGCGCGAATCGTCACGTGACCAGTGGGCGGCGCGGGGCCAGTCACAGGCGTTGTCGCGAATAGCAAGTGTCACGGGAGCTCATACGGAAGCCCTGGCTCTTGCACCATCAGGCAGCGAGGCGGCCAGGGGAGAGCGAGGGGGCTGGGGCGAGGGCCAGGGGGGGAACTATAGTAACTATAGGCCAGGGGAGGGGGGGGGGGGGGGCAGGCCACGAACGAAAGAACGATGAAAATGAAGGGCCCCGAGCTCTAGAACACAGCTGCGCAAGATAACGAAACACGAGCTCCTGGGGGCGCCCCCGCGCCCTGCCGCGGGCTCTCCGCGGGGCTCTGCTCCGAGGGCGGCGCCGCGGGCTGCGCGGCGACCGCGGGCTGCGCGGCGACCGCGGGCTGCGCGGCGGCCGCGGCCGCCGCGCGGACCCCCGACGATTCCACGCTCGCCTGCCGCGACCCCTCCGAGGGGCTCCGGTCGCCGGCGCTGCCCCGCGGCCCGGCGGCCTCCATCGCGGCGCGCCCCGGCCGAGGCACCAGGCCGCCCCGGGGGCCGCCCGGAGCACGCGCCGGCGCAGCGGCGGGCGGCGGAGCTGCTGCGCGGGAGCTGGAGGTGGCGCTCCCTCGAGGGGGCAGGGGGCCGATGGGCGGGGAGGGTCGAGGGCCGAGTCAGGGAGCAGCCAGCGGCGAGCCCGGCACAGTTCCTCGCGCCGCCGGGGGGAGCTGGAGCCACGTCGCGCCTCGTGCGCGCGCTCGGGCTCCAGCAAGCACCCGCCCTCAGCAGCGGCACGACTCTGCATGTGAACGAAGATGTACGCACGGAGTGCACATCAGCTGCGACGACGGGCGCCCGGGTGAAAAGTGGGTCATGCCGAGGGGGGGGGCGGCGGCCCGTCGGGCCCAGGGACCTGATTGCTGGGTGTCCGCCACCGTGCCGCTGGGCACGGAGTGTCCTCGGGTCCTGGGCCCAATCGTCTAAGCCTAAATCCTCACTCCTGAGGAGTCTTGAAGGGGCCCAGGCCCAAATCCCACCAGCCCTCTGGACGTCGGTGGTTCAGGGAGTTTCCTCTTCCACCCCTCCTTCTTCCCCTTCGGGGAGGGGTTTCTCATTGTTCCCTATTGATAAACACCCCCTCCCCCAGGCGACTGGGGGCCAACCAGGGTCCATGACGACACCCCCCCACCATCCCTTGCAAAAAAATATCCAGGCAAAGCAACCTACCAGCGATGTGTAGGAGCATATCTGGAAGCATTCCCCTCAAGATTCAGATGAGAATCCAGATGTAGAATTCTGCTGTTCTCGCAGTCGCAGTCGCATTCGCGATGACAGTCGCAGTGGCAACGGCAGTCGCAGTCACAGCCTCAGCCTCAGCCTGCCTCAGCCTCAGCCTGCCTCAGCCTCAGCCTCAGCCTGCCTCAGCCTCTGCCTCAGCCTGCTTCAGCCTCAGCCTCAGTCTGCCTTCAGCCTCGGCCTCAGCCTCAGCCTGCCTCAGCCTCAGCCTGCATCAGCCTCAGCCTCAGCCTCAGCCTGCCTCAGCATCAGCCTGCCTCAGCCTCAGCCTCAGCCTGCCTCAGCCTCAGCCTCAGCCTGCTTCAGCCTCAGCCTCAGTCTGCCTTCAGCCTCGGCCTCAGCCTCAGCCTGCCTCAGCCTCAGCCTGCATCAGCCTCAGCCTCAGCCTCAGCCTGCCTCAGCATCAGCCTGCCTCAGCCTCAGCCTCAGCCTGCCTCAGCCTCAGCCTCAGCCTGCTTCAGCCTCAGCCTCAGTCTGCCTTCAGCCTCGGCCTCAGCCTCAGCCTGCCTCAGCCTCAGCCTGCATCAGCCTCAGCCTCAGCCTCAGCCTGCCTCAGCATCAGCCTGCCTCAGCCTCAGCCTGCCTCAGCCTCAGCCTCAGCTGCTGCTTCAGCCTCAGCCTCAGTCTGCCTTCAGCCTCGGCCTCAGCCTCAGCCTGCCTCAGCCTCAGCCTGCCTCAGCCTCAGCTCAGCCTGCCTCATCAAAATGTGGCCCGGGAATGGAGTTCTGGGAACTCGAAGAACACGAAGTGGCCTACAGTTGGCTCCGGGCATTCAAAATCATGCCCAGGAATGGAGTTCTGGGAACTCGAAGACCACGAAGTGGCCTACAGTTGGCTCCGGGCATTCAAAATCATGCCACAGGTTGGCTCCGGGACTTCTGGGAACTCGAAGACCACGAAGTGGCCTACAGTTGGCTGGGCATTCAAAATGTGGCCCAGGATGGAGTTCTGGGAACTCGAAGAGCACGAAGTGGCCTGCAGTTGGCTCCGGGCATTCAGAATGTGGCCCGGGAATGGAGTTCTGGGACCTCGAAGACCACGAAGTGTGTAACTGTTTGCTTAAAACGACTTCCGCGGCTTCTCCCCGGCACCCGCCCAGACCCCCCTGGGGAGTCAAGATGCTCTCTTTTGACGCTACTAGACACCTATCAGTCTTCGCTGTTAGGTAACAATACAAAAGACACTCTGCCTCCAAATTCGGAACATGCGCAACCAAGCAGATGCGCGCCCCCCCCCACCATCCCTGTCAACAAATTATCCCGGCAAAGCAACCTAACAGCGATGTGTAGGAGCATATCTGGAAGCATTCCCCTTAAGATTCAGATGAGACTCCAGTTGTAGAATTCTGCTGTTCTAGCAGTCGTAGTCGCATTCGCGATAACAGTCGCAGTGGCAACGGCAGTCGCAGTCACAGCCTCAGCCTCAGCCTGCCTCAGCCTGCCTCAGCCTGCCTCAGCCTTAGCCTGCCTCAGCCTCAGCCTCAGCCTGCTTCAGCCTCAGCATCAGTCTGCCTCAGCCTCGGCCTCAGCCTCAGCCTGCATCAGCCTCACCCTGCCTCAGCCTCAGCCTCAGCCTCAGCCTGCCTCAGCATCAGCCTGCCTCAGCCTCAGCCTCAGCCTGCCTCAGCCTCAGCCTCAGCCTGCTTCAGCCTCAGCCTCAGTCTGCCTTCAGCCTCGGCCTCAGCCTCAGCCTGCCTCAGCCTCAGCCTGCATCAGCCTCAGCCTCAGCCTCAGCCTGCCTCAGCATCAGCCTGCCTCAGCCTCAGCCTCAGCCTGCCTCAGCCTCAGCCTCAGCCTGCTTCAGCCTCAGCCTCAGTCTGCCTTCAGCCTCGGCCTCAGCCTCAGCCTGCCTCAGCCTCAGCCTGCATCAGCCTCAGCCTCAGCCTCAGCCTGCCTCAGCATCAGCCTCAGCCTCAGCCTCAGCCTCAGCCTGCCTCAGCCTCAGCCTCAGCCTGCTTCAGCCTCAGCCTCAGTCTGCCTTCAGCCTCGGCCTCAGCCTCAGCCTGCCTCAGCCTCAGCCTGCAGCCTCAGCCTCAGCCTCAGCCTGCCTCAGCATCAGCCTGCCTCAGCCTCAGCCTCAGCCTGCCTCAGCCTCAGCCTCAGCCTGCTTCAGCCTCAGCCTCAGTCTGCCTTCAGCCTCAGCCTCAGCCTGCCTCAGCCTCAGCCTCAGCCTCAGCCTCAGCCTCAGCCTGCCTCAGCCTCAGCCTCAGCCTCAGCCTCAGCCTCAGCCTCAGCCTCCTGCCTTCAGCCTCAGCCTGCCTCAGCCTCAGCCTGCATCAGCCTCAGCCTCAGCCTCAGCCTGCCTCAGCCTGCCTCAGCCTCAGCCTCAGCCTGCCTCAGCCTCAGCCTCAGCCTGCTTCAGCCTCAGCCTCAGTCTGCCTTCAGCCTCGGCCTCAGCCTCAGCCTGCCTCAGCCTCAGCCTGCATCAGCCTCAGCCTCAGCCTCAGCCTGCCTCAGCATCAGCCTCAGCCTCAGCCTCAGCCTCAGCCTGCCTCAGCCTCAGCCTCAGCCTGCTTCAGCCTCAGCCTCAGTCTGCCTTCAGCCTCGGCCTCAGCCTAAGCCTGCCTCAGCCTCAGCCTGCATCAGCCTCAGCCTCAGCCTCAGCCTGCCTCAGCATCAGCCTGCCTCAGCCTCAGCCTCAGCCTGCATCAGCCTCAGCCTCAGCCTGCTTCAGCCTTAGCCTCAGCCTGCCTTCAGCCTCGGCCTCAGCCTCAGCCTGCCTCAGCCTCAGCCTGCCTCAGCCTCAGCATCAGCCTGCCTCACCATTCAAAATGTGGCCCGGGAATGGAGTTCTGGGAACTCGAAGACACGAAGTGGCCTACAGTTGGCTCCGGGCAT